AAGGAAGGAAGGAAGGAAGGAAGGAAGGAAGGAAGGAAGGAAGGAAGGAGAGGCTCCTTTCCCTAAAGCAGGAAATACACATGATATGATATGGTATAATAAGATACGATAAAGGAGCCCCCAGTGGCACAGTGAGTTAAACCGCTGAGCTGCTGAACTTGCTGAGTGAAAGGTTGGTGGTTCGAATCCGGAGAGTGGAGTGAGGTCCTGCTGTTAGCCCAGCTTCTGCCAACCTAGCAGTTCGAAAATATACAAATGTGAGTAGATCAATAGTACTGCTTCAGCGGGAAGGTAAGGGTGCTCCATGTAGTTATGTCAGCCACTTGGCCTTGGAGATGTCTACGGATAACTCTGGCTCTTCGGCTTGGAAATGGAGATGAGTACCAGCCTCCAAAGTTGGACACAACTGGACTTAATGTCAGGGGAAAACCTTTACCTTGTACTAAGATATGATATACCTATGAATTGGACCTCCGTCACAGATGCTGAAAGGCCTGGACCATCTAAAAGGGAAGAATAGCAGGCCTCCTCCTCCTCCATGGGCGCTCAAAAGCCTTAATAATATAAAAGGAAATAAGAGGTGTTTGTTAATGCCCTTAGACCACAGTTCATTTGCATACAAAACAAGTCAACACAACACAACACAATTGGCATCTAGATCTGGCCTAGTAACCTTCAATGGCATGAAAGGTGGGAGAGATGCCAATGTTTTGCACTGATTCGCTGCCAAAAAGGGCTGCTGCCAAGTCCGACCTCTTCCATGGACGCTAAAAGGAAATCATAGGAGAGAATGAATGTTCTTAAAGGCCATAGAAGTCAATGCAAGGCAGCAGGCTCTCCCTTCATTCAAAGTATCTATAGGGTTAAGTAGATGGAGTAATAATAATAATAATAGTCTCTTAATTAACTGGCCCCCATGGGAATTGGTAGATATGCAATAATAATAATAATAATAATAATAATAATAATAATAATCTTTCAATTAACTGGCCCCCATGGGAATTGGTAGATATGACATAATAATAATAATAATAATAATAATAATAATAATAGTCTTTCAATTAACTGGCCCCCATGGAAATTGGTAGATATGCCATAATAATAATAATAATAATAATAATAATAATAATAATAATAATAATAATACTGTTTGGATCGTCGATGTTGCAATTCCAGGCGATAGCAGGATTGAAGAGAAAAATATGAGGATTTAAAGATCGAACTGCAAAGACTCTGGCCCAAGCCAGTCAAGGTGGTCCCAGTGGTGATTGGCACACTGGGTGCAGTGCCTCAAGATCTTGGCCTGCACTTAAACACAATCGGCGCTGACAAAATTATCATCTGCCAGCTGCAGAAGGCCTTTGAGGGGAATTTACCTTGATTTGAGGGAGTTGTAGTTCACCTACATCCAGGGAGCACTGTGAACCCAATGATGGATCTGGACCAAACTTGGCATGCATACCTGATATGCCCAAATTTGAATATTGGTGAGTTTTGAGGGGAATTCGTCTGTGTACTTTGGAGTTATAGATCCTGGGATTTATAGTTCACCTGCAATCAAGGAGTACTCTGAACTCCACCAAAGAGGGAATTTGACCATACTTGGCAAACAAAGCCCCCATGACCAGCAAAAAAAACACTGGAGGCTTTGGAGGGATATTCACCTTGATTTGAGGGAGTTGTAGTTCACCTACATCCAGAGAGCACTAATGGATCTGGGCCAAACTTGGCACACAGACCTGATAGGCCGAAATTTAATGGCTGGAGGGGTTTGGGGGGAACTGACCTTCCTTTCTGCGGATTGGTAGATGCTATACGAAGAAGAATAATATATAATAATAATAATAGATTGTGAAGTGGGCCTTCTGATAGAAGTATCACAGCCCTAGACTCCAGTGGCTATTCTCCCGCCAAAAGTCTTGTAAGTGAAAGGCATTCTGGGAGTTGTAGTCCTTGAAGAAAGCGCCCTCCCTTCAGCCGGCCGTCTTCCCTCGAAAGGGCCACGCCTTCCAGCCTTCATCTCCCGGCGTCCTTAGCGCCTCGCTTTCTGCCTCATGCTGGAAGCCCCGCCCCCTTTCCCACCCTGCTTGTCTCCGCCCCCTTTCTCCTCTGTCTCGAAGCTCCACCCCTTTCCCAGTCTCCGCCCCTTTCTCTCAGTCTCCTCCTCTTCCGGCCTGAAGTCCCGCCTTTTCCCTAATTCTCCTGGGAAGCGAGATGGAAGTGTAAGTTGGAGGAAGGGAAGGAGGGGAAAAGGCAGGAAAGCCAGGCCCAGGAGGCGAACCCGAGGGAATCTGAATTATTAATATGTATGTTTTGTTGCTTATAGAATTATTCATATTCAGCTATAGAGAGGAAATAGGATATATTAAGCCATAGAGAGGAGAGGATGCTTCTACTATATATACATTTATATGTTCTATTTATATATGTATAACAGATTAAAATACAGAAATGTATATATTAATATATAACACATTATATATACTATACACATGTTAATATATAGAGAGAGGTATATTACTTATATGCTTATATAGAATTCATATATATATATATCACATTATATTAATATAATACTAAAATAATGTATGCAATATTATTTATATATGTATAACAGATTAAAATAAAGTAATGTGTATATATATATATATATATAATATACTACACACATATAAATGTATATAGAGAGGTATATTACTTAAATGCTTATATAGAATTCATGTATATACATATCACATTATATTAATATAATACTAAATATATGCAATATATGCTTTAATATATATTATATTAATCTGTATTAGAGAGGGATATTGCTTATATATGCATACATATCACATAATATATGCAATTATGTGATATCTATATATATAAGACATACATTATTTTAATATTATATATAAAAATAATGTATCTATTATATATATATATACACACACACACTCATACACATACATATCACTTAATATATATGTATAATATATTAATATACATATATTAAAGTAATGTATGTATAATATATATATATATATATATATATATATATTGTTTAATGTACAGAGAGGGATATTAATTAGATGCTTATATACATATATATTAATATAACAAAATAAAGTAATGTATGTATAATATATGTACTAACATTTATACATACATGGCACATATATATTAAAATTATATATATACACACACACATACATACATATGCTGTATAGAGAGGGAGGGATAATGCTTACATGTCACACTATATATATACTATGTTAATATATTAAAATGTATGTATTATATATATATATACTTTAATGTATAGAGAGGGATATTGATGAGATGTTTACATACATATATGTACATATATATACGCATACATATCAATTAATATATTAATATATTAAAATAAAGCAATGTATTATATATATATATTATTTTATATTATTAATAGTAATATTAATAATATGTAGGTTTTGTTGGTTCTTTTGCCAACCAAAAAGCCAACCACACACACACACACACACACACATATATCTATATCTATATATCCCCATAGGGATTCCTCTCCATGTGAGCTTCCCAAGACTCCCAAGGAATTGAATATGTAACATATGGAGCAAAGCCCCTGCTTTGGCTGACATTTATTTGGGGTCAGCACAAAAAACGAAAACTCCCTTCTCAGCATATTTCCGGAAGGGGAGCCCCTCTTTTTTTTGAATCCCCCCGATTTGTTTTTTTTAAAAAACAAAACACCAAAACAATGCGTCCAACCTGTGGAAGTTTGTGGAAGAGGCGGCGTGGAACTTGCCCCGAAAGTGATGAGCGCAGCGGGTTCGATTCAGAACTAAATCAAATACATTGTGCTTTTAGGTACGTGCGGGGCCCCCCGAGAAGCGCTTTTTGTGGCCGCCGCACTGTTGTTGTTTCTGCGCTCTTTGCTGGCTCAGCAGAAAAAAGGCCTTTGTCTCTGGGATGTATGGATGGATGGAGGGGGCCCTTCCGCACGGCCCTTCGGTGTTTTTGTTAATATAGATATAGATAGATAGATAGATAGATAGATAGATAGATATGAACAAGATTCAGTTATGAACAAGATTCAGTCGGTTTGTTATTAAGGTGATCCATCATCTGTTAACTATTTATCTGTATCAATCCTCTCTCAACTATTTACCTTCTGTTAACTATCTATCTATCACCTGTCCGTCAGTCATCTGCCAACTATATGTATCATCTGGTCTATCAATCATCTGCCAATTATTTATCTGTCTATCTTTCTATTATCTATCATCTGTCCATCAATCATCTACCAATTATCTATCTATGTATCTATCATCTGCCAACTATTTATCTATCATCTATCTATCATATGTCTATCAATCACCTGTCAACTATCTATCTATCAGTGTCTATCTTCTCTCAACTCATTTTTCTATCTGTATTAATCATCTGTCAATCATCGAGCTATACAGATAAATCATCTCATATATCATCTATATCAATAATCTCTCAACTATCTTATCATCTGTCAACTATCATCTATTTATCAATGATTTGCCAACTATTATCTGTCTGTTTATCAATCATCTGTCAACAGTTTATCACCTATCAATTATCTGTCATCTATCTATCTATCTATCTATCTATCTATCTATCTGTTATCTATCAATCATCTATCGATTATCTGTCATCTATCTTTCATCTGCCTATCAATCTCCTGTCAACTATATTTCTGTTATGTTTCTATAACCTATCAATTATCTGTCAACTATCTATCTATCCATCTATTTATTATCTATCAATCATCTGTCAACAATCTGTCCTCTATCTTTCATCTGTCTATCAATCTCCTGTCAACGATCTTTCTGTTATGTTTCTATCATCTATCGATCATCTGTCAACTATCTTATCTATCTATCATTCTATTATCTTTAATCATCTGTCAACTATCTGTCATCTATCTTTCATCTGTCAGCTATCTTTGTTATGTTTCTATCTATTATCTATCAATCATCTGTCAACTATCTGTCAACTATCAATTATTTGCCAACTATCTATCTATCATCTATCAATCATTTGTCTATCAATCACTTGTCAACTGTCTATCATCTATCTATCTTTTCATTTGTCTGGATTTTCCCAGCGTTCCTCTGGACACACATTATCTGACTTCAGCAAAATCTGGCTCGAAATGAGGAAGCCGCCCTTTAAGAAAATATCTCCTTTGGGCTTTGAAAACAGTCTGTCTTCTTGAGCCAGGATCGCCTGCATAAAGGCCTAATCCTGCCTGTTTGTTTTGTTGTGCAGGAAAGACGGAAATGCAGCCCTTCTGAGCAACTATGAGGTAAAACCATTTGTGGCATAATTAATTGGACTTCTGATGCCTTGTGTTTCATCTCTGCTCTGTGTATTTTCATATGCATTTTATCAAAGTACATTTCTATATGTGCATTTATAGATTTTTACTATGTTTATGTGTTTTGATTATGCCGTAACCTGCCTTGAGCCAGGTTGCCCAAAGGCCCTCTCATAGAATGGCCATTTTGGAGCGTTTCGGATTCCCGGATAAGGGAGCTTCACAGTTGAAATGGGACCAAAGCACTCTAAAAGTGCCATGCGGAACGGTCCCAGCAGAGGGTGGGAAACTCAACGGCGCCTCTCTTTTCCTGGCTTGGTTTACATAGCAATCGCGGATGGGAATGTTGTTGGAAAGTGCTTTGCGGCCCCCGTGAAAGAGCAAATCGGGTTTCCTTTCAGGTCTACCAGCTGCTGATGGACCTGAAGCAGCAGCGGCGAGAGATGGGGAAGAGCAAAGCGAGCGCTGGGCAGCAGAACCTGAACACCATCATGTACGAAGTGAGTCCTTTCGGGGGGTTCCTGGTATCCGTGGACATAGAAAACCCTCTGGTTTTGTTGCCTCTCTCTCTCACGCTATGTTTTCTTCCCTTGGAAAAATCCCCATTCTGACATGTGCTTATTCTTCCCGTTGATGACAGCATGCTTGTGCTGATGTGTTCGTTGTGAGCATCGTTGGGCACTTTTCTGTTGTCTCAGAAACTCCCTGCCATCCGAGTAAATGTGGGCGTCCTTGAACCAAGTCTTGGGAGGTTTAGAAAGTCTGCCTTCAGGAAAAATAATGAACCCAGCGAAAGCCCTTCCCATTTTTGGACATCAATACGCTTAAAAGTTTCAACTTCTTCAGGCCCCCTTTTCCTTCCTTCCTGCTTCATTCATATATATATTTCTTCCTTACTTACTTTATTTCTTCATTTCTTTTTCCCTTCTCTACCTTCCTTCCCTTTCTTTCATTGTCTCCAACATACGTATTACTCCTTTCCCCGTCCTTCCTTCCTTCCTTCCTTCCTTCCTTCCTTCCTTCCTTCCTTCCTTCCCTCCCTCCCTCCCTCCCTCCACCCTCCCTTTTTCATTGTCTCCAATGTATGTATTTTTTCCTTCCTCACTCGTTCTTCTTTCCTCCTTTTCTCCTTCCTCCCTTTCTTTCATTGTCTCCAATGTATGTGTTGCTTCCTTCCTCACTCTTCCTTCCTCCTTTTCACTTTCTTTTCCCTTCCTTCCTTTTCTTCCATTGTCTCCAATGTATATATTGCTTCCTTCCTCACTCATTTTTACTTCCTCCTTTTCTTTTCTCTTCCTTTCTTTGTCTGTCCGTCCTTCCTTCCTTCCTTCCCTTCCTTCCATTGTCTTCAAGCGACTTAGTTTCTCAAATCGCTCCTGACATGAAAAAATTGCCTTCAATATATGTATTGCCTCATTCCTTCCCCACTCATTCTTACTTCCTCTTTTTCTTTTCCCTTTCTTTTCCCTCCCCCCTCATTTTCCTTCTTCCCCTTCTTACATTGTCTCCAATGTATTTTTTCCTTTTCTTTTCCCTTTCATTTCCAGTCTTTCCTTCCTTTCTTCCATTGTCTGCAATGTTTGTATTGCTTCCTTCCTCACTCATTTTTACTTCCTCTTTTTTCCCTTTCTTTTCCCTCCCTCCCTTTCCTTCTTCTCCTTCTTACATTGTCTCCAATGTATGTATTCTTTTTTCCTTTTCCTTTTCATTTCCAGTATTTTCTTCCTTTCTTCCATTGTCTGCAATGTTTGTAGTGATTTCTTCCTCACTCATTCTTACTTAATCTTTTTCTTTTCCCCTTCTTTTTCCTCCCTCCCTTTCCTTCTTCCCCTTCTTACATTGCCTCCAATTGCCTCCTTCCTTGTCTTTTCCCTTTCATTTCCAGTCTTTCCTTCCTTTCTTCCATTGTCTGCAATGTTTGCATTGCTTTGTTCCTCACTCATTTTTACTTCCTTTTTCTTTTCCCCTTCTTTTCTCTCCCTCCCTTTCCTTCTTCCCCTTCTTACATTGTCTCCAATGTATGTATTCTTTTTTCCTTTTCTTTTCCCTTTCATTTCCATTTTTCCTTCCTTTCTTCCATTGTCTCCAATAATTGTATTGCTTCCTTCCTTCTTTCTTTCCTTCTTTTCTTTTCCCTTCTTTCCTCCCTCCCTTCCTTCCTGTTGTGAGAATTCTTTCCACCTCCCAATAGAACAACAAATGCTGCAGCTTCTCTCTCGCTGAATCAATTTGCAGTTCATTTGGCTTGAGAGGCAGGAATGGGGCTGAGTTTTGCCTTTCTCCCCATCCTTTCAGACCCTGAAATGCATTTCCAAGACGCCCTGCAAGTTCCAGAGCCCACAAGTGGTGAGCGACTTCCTCGCGGCCATGAAAATCCACAAGTTGACCAAGTAAGTGAGGAAATGGGAATGACTGAGTCCTTCCAGGTGAGCCGAAGCAGGTATGGAGATGCGGGATTGCCTCTCACGCTGTATCTGGTACTCAATGGGATGCAAAGGATGGTCCCGAAAGAATGGTCCTATCAAAGCAAACATGAGCTGAGAAAGCTCAGCAGCCAACCGGGCCTGATGGTTCCAGGGAGCAAAGTGCGTGGCTCTTTCCTCGCCCTTTGGCCAGACAGAAGGCATTGGGGAAAACGACACTGTTTACATAGAAGGACGCAGTGATTGCTTAGGATTAAGATTGTTTGTTTTGAGGTAGTCTTATTGCCTGGAATCTCAGCCTTTGGCCCTTTTTAACTCCTGACTACGTCAGCATTTGGTGATTAAGTGTCAATTTGCCTGTGTATTTTTTTTTGTATTGATATGGTCAGTGGGCCCATTAATAAGCAAATTGATCTATCTGTCTATCCACCATACCTTTCTTGGAATCTAATGATCCCCTTTCGGGTCTCAATGATGTCCCCAACATTAGGGTGCGCATCAGATTTGCATAATTCATGTTTATATTTAATTCTGTTTTAATGTTTGTATAATTGTATACTCTAAGCATTCAACCACTGCAATGGCCAAGTTGCAAAGAGGGCCCTTTATGCAATTGCGCGTTTCCTTCGGCAGCAAATCCTTTTTTGTGGTTTCGAGGTATTGGAAGCTGAGATCCGATGGCGTGTTGGACTCAGGTCAATACAGTAATCACAGAGAAAGGGCTTTGGGTGACGGGGCTGTAAAGACACTGTCGTTGGAAGGGGATCATCCTGGATTAGCCGGCGTTTATCTCCGAACCGCTTAAGGGCCAAGATCGCAGGCAGACAGGCATCCGGTTGCTGTTTTTGTCCTTTACGAAGCATCATAGAATCATAGAGTTGGAAGAGACTGTACAAAATATGAAAAATTAATTGGGTAATTGGCTCCTTCTTTGGAAGCTTTTAAAGAGGCTGGATGGCCATCTGTCAGGGGTGATTTGAATGCAATATTCCTGCTTCTTGGCAGGGGGTTGGACTGGATGGCCCATGAGGTCTCTTCCAACTCTTTGATTCTATGATTCTAATTTGGATTACAAAAGTGTGGGCCAAGCACTGAAACAGTGAATAGGCTGAAGCCTGTTAGAGTCAGTGGGCCAAAGCCAGTGTTGTCTGATAAGAGTGAGTAGGTCAAAGCCAGTGTTGTCCTGAGGAGAGTGAGTAGGCCGAAGCCTGTTAGAGTCAGTGGGCCAAAGCCAGTGTCGTCCTGAGGAGAGCGAGTAGGCCCAAGCCTGTTAGAGTTAGTGGGCCAAAGCTAGGGCCATCCTGAGGAGAGTGAGTAGGCCGAAGCCTGTTAGATTTAGTGAGCCAAAGCCACGTCCTAAGGAGAGCAAGTAGGCCGAAGCGTGTTAGAGTCAGTGGGCCAAAGCTAGGGCCGTCCTGAGGAGAGTGAGTAGGCCGAAGCCTGTTAGAGTCAGTGGGCCAAAGGTAGATGCACCAGAATTATATGGAGAAATCCTTTGTTGACAGCAGAGGGAGCTGCTTCCCGTTGAACAGATATTGTTCCAGATGTTCATTTCCTGGCTAGAAGGAAACCCATTTTTTGGATGTAGGGCTGGCCTGAGGTCTCCCACAATGATGGAGCCTTGTTGTGTCTGTTGCTTTTTGTGCAGGGCAGAAAAGCTGCAACTCCTCAACCACCGGCCGGTCACTGCTGTCGAGATCCAGCTGGTAAGTTGGGAAGATCCAGTTGCGGGATCGTTTCCTTCCAATGCATTTCGTGTTATACTCCATTCCCGTTCTATTCGTTTGGTTACTGCCTTGGCTGGAAACACGTGTTTCAGACGACAGAGATCAGGCAAGCTCTTGCTGTCAGTAGTGTCACAATGAAGAAAGCAATACTAATACTCGCCTCTCCTTATGGCTCAATGTACAGACAATAGTAGACAAAGTCTCCCAATGCAATGCCCAATGCAGAAGCAAATAATAATAACAACAGGCCCATTTTGCACATTTGGTGCCTTTTAAAGGTTGTTTAGGGCCTCTTTAGAGTTGTCCAGGACCTGTTTTGCCCATTTGGTGCCTTTTAACTGTTTAGTCCCTTTTTAGAGTCTTCCAGGGCCCGTTTTGTGCACTTAGTGCCTTTTAAAGGTTGTTTAAGACCTCTTTAGGTCTTAAACAACCTTGTCCAGGGCCCGTTTTGCCGATTTGGTGCCTGCTGTTAGGAATTGTGGGAGTTGAAGTCCAAAACATCCAGAGGGTCAAAGTTTACCCTGGTCCAGACTGATGAATGAATGGACCAAACGTCTTGTGCTGTGTGCAGATGGTGGAGGAGAGCGAGGAGCGGCTGACAGAGGAGCAGATCGAGGCCCTTCTGCAAACGGTGACCAGCATCCTTCCTGGAGACCCATCCAAAGAGGAGCCTCCTGCTGTCCAAATGGAGGAAGACACAGATCATGCCTGAGCGGGACAGTGTTGGGTTTGTGGAATCCGTCATTGGGTTGCTAGGACAATTGGGGGCAATTTCCCACTGTTTTAAAAAGTATTATTGTGTAATTGTTGTCAATTGTATTGTGTACAAGTGACAAACAAAAACAGATGCTGTATTGTTGAAGGCTTTGATAAAACAGATATTACCATGCTATAATGGTGTCAGTTTAACTGTGACATCCCCTGGTGTGTGGTCACAGAGCATATGGACAAACAAGAAAGGTGTCATCTGTCAGAAATATTAAAAATTAACTACTGTATTTTCCGGCATACAAGGCGACTGGGGGTATAAGACGACCCCCCAACTTTTCAACACAAAATACTGAGTTAGGGATATACTTGCCGTTTAAGATGACTCCACATGTCCCCGCAGCCCCCACTGCTCTACCCACTCTATTTTCAAGGCCCTACCCACTCTACTTTCAAGGAGGGAGGAGAATGAGAGCAGAGGAGGGCCATGAAAGTAGAGCAGAGAGAGTGGTGGGGGCCGCGAGGACAGCCCAGCGGGTGATCACCCCCAGCCGGTCTCCATGGCAATACAACCTGCCGCTCCTCCTCCCTGTGCCCTCCCTCCGTCCTCCCCCCTCCCCCCTAAGGTAGTTGTATTTTTTTTTCTTTGAATTATTATTATTTTAATTTCATACCCAGCGTACTAGACGACCCCTGACTTTTCATAAGATTTTCCAGGCCCAAAATGTCATCTAGTACGCCGGAAAATACAGTAGGTATTTTTAATTACAAAAATGTGAGTCAAGCACTGAAAGGGTTAAAGCGATGCTATGACTTAGCGAAGTTGAAGTTCAATATAAGCAGGCTTGCCTGTTGCTTAGTAATGCTTCAGTCTGTGAGAGCTCTCAGTGTGAAAGAAGCCTCTCTGTGTGAGAGAGCTCTCAGTGGGAGAGAAGCCTCTCAGTGGGAGAAAAGGCCTCAGTGGTAGTAGACCTCACTCTGGGATAATAGGCCTTATTGTTATTACGCCACACAGTCCTAATAAGGGATAGGCAGTGGATGAGGTCATGCAAATTCCACACCAATGAAGAGAGAGAAAGAAACAGTGAGATGTCTGTGGTGGAGGAAACACATTACATCTCGGATCTTACTTGGCTGGTGGGCAGTATACAAAATGCCCATTTGTCCTCAGTCTTACAATGTACATAAGAGAAATAACACTATGTAACGCGATTCTTGTTTCTGAGTTATAAATGTCCTCATTTCCTAACTGGTTCTGCACTTTCTCTCGTCCCTTAGTGAAGGTCAACCCCACTGTTTCGCCCCTTATTTCTCCCCTCAGACACACACTACTCCATTTACTTATCTCACCCAGGGCTTTATCAATCTTATCCTGTGCAATTGTCCCACCCACTGTGTTTTTATTCCTCTACCATTTTATTTTTTGCATTTGTTTATTGTACATTCTGCTATTTTTGTATTTTACTTTGATGTTTATTATTTGTTTGTTGTATTTTACTTTGCTGTATTGGAATTCTGGGCTTGGCCTCATGTTAGCCGTCCCAAATCCCCTTTGGGGAGATGGTGGCAGGGTATAAATAAAGACTATTATTATTATTATTATTATTATTAAAACATGGGGGAAGTATATTAAACTGCAAGAACTTTGTCTTTGTGGGAGGGACATCCTGCAGCACCACCTTTGGCTCTAGTTTTGCAATGAATCTCTCATCATCGAGTGTCGACCAATTCAGTTTCAACAAAAATGAAGTTTCAGGAGCAGAACAACGTCTTTCAAAGTAAGGACCGCACAACTAAATAGGAAACCACAGTTTCGAACCAGGAACAGAATTTGTTTTTTTCCAAATGTTGTTATAGATTCAGATCCCCGGCTTGTAGGCCTGTTGCATGGTTGTCTCCTCTGCAAAGATTTTTCTTCTTCGGAACTGTTCCTCGAAAGCGGAAAAGGAGTGTCCTCTGATTGGAACGGCATTTATTTTTCCATGCCATGCTTAGTGGCACCGATCCTGGGACTGGATCTGTTTTCCTCATTTACCCAACAAAGAAGGCTCAGTTGGGAACAGGCTGCAAATCCATTCCGGAGTGTAGACGTGGGAAGGAATGCCATTTATGGTTCAGAGGCACACTTCCAACACATATGCATTTCTCCCCAAAGTGGCTGCTAAGTACAGCCTTAAGCAATACCTAAAAGTTGGGTGCACCCCCCAAAGGCTATGTGCATTCTGCCAGGCAGGAAGATAGAATTACAATTATGTTATTATCTATTATCTATTATTATTATTATTATTATTATTATTATTATTATTATTTTACTGACACGAAAACACAGTATGTCACAGCAAATGAGATATATATGCTGTATTTCATACCACAAAATCACAAGTCAAACACTTCCCAAGCGTCTAGGACTGTGTATTGATGATGATTATTATTTGAAACACAAGATGAGTCCACAGCAGACACTCTACTGGCTGTTGTATTGGATAACATGTCAGACACTTCCCAAGTGTCTAGGACTGTGTGATGTATTGGCAAATATTATAGTTATTATTGGCACAAAAGCACAGTATGTCACAGTAAACGAGATCTATATGCTGGATTTCGTATCACAAAATCACAAGTCAAACACTTCCCAAGCGCCTAGGACTGTGTGATGTATTATTATTATTATTATTATTATTATTATTAGATTCATAGTTGGGAGGGACCTCTAAAGAGCATCCAGTCCATCCCCAATATGCCATGCAGAAAGATAGAATTATTATTATTATTATTATATTATACATTATTATTATTTGAAACACAACAAGATTAGTACACAGCAAACAAGTTCACTGTGCTGGTTGTTGTATCGGATCACATGTTGGACCCTTCCCAAGTGTCTAGGACTGTGTGATGTATCGGCGAGTAATGCGTGCAGATCCCAGTAGGGTGGCCTTTTGCAGCTGACAGATGGTAGTTTTGTCAGCGCCAATTGTGTTTAGACTCGTAGAGTTTGGAGGGACCTCCAAAGAGCATCCAGTCCATCCCCAATATGCATGCAGGAAGACTGAATTATTATTATATTATTATCCTTTATTATTAGACTCCTGGAGTTGGGAGGGATCTCCAAAGGCCATCCAGTCCACCCCTGTGCAGAAAGACAGAATTACTATTGTATTACTAAACATTATTCCTATCACCATATTTGCCTATTATTATTATTATTATTACTGTATTATCATCTTTGCCTCTCGGGCTTTCCCCCTTTGCCCTCCATAGCCAGAAAGGCAAACAACTCTATTTGCCTTTGGAAAAGGAGGGCGAAAGTAGCGTGAAATCCTTTGCGTGTTTATTTTCTGATTAAAAGCCTGAGTAGCGGACCGTGGCGACAGCAAAGGGACCCACGCAAAGGGATTTTGACTTCGTTCCTATTTCTGGAGTTTGGTTTCCTGATCATTCATTCGTATACCTCCCTAGGCGACATTTGACGTGGGATGGCTTTCAAATAATGTGCTGCAGGTGCAAAAGGCTTCCATCCCCCTCCAGCCTTTCTTTCTCTCTGGACCTTTCAGGCGCTGCGGAGAAAGGAAGGCAATTCTCACTTCTTTCCTATAATAACTGGCCTCGAAGGGGAGGAATCTCAGGGTAAGAATGCCGTCTTGAAAGACAAACACATTCCCAGATTTTAATCATTCATGGATTTGATTGAAATGTTTGCTTAAGGAATCTCCTTCCTTCTCTGCTTCCTTTCTTCCACCACTTTTTTCCTTCCTTCTCTTCCTTCTATTTCTTTCCTTTCTGCCTTTCTCCTCTCCCTTGTTTCTTTCTTCTTTTCTTTTTCTTTCCTTGTTCTCCTTTTCCTTTCCTTTGTTTTTCCCTTTCTTCTGATTCTTTCTTCTCTTCCTTGTTTCCTTTCTTTCTTCTCTTCCTTCTCTTTCCTATTTCCTTTCTTTATTCCTTTCTTCTCTTTTTCTTTTTTTCCTCCTTTCCTTTCTTCTCTTCACTTTTTCATTCCTTTCTTCGCTTTTACTTTTTTTCCTTCCTTCTCTTTCCTATTTCCTTTCTTTATTCCTTTCTTTTTTTCCTTCCTTCTGTTTCCTTTCTTTCTTCTTGTTTCCTTTATTCCTTTCTTCTTTCTTCACTTTTCTTCCTTCCTCCTTCCATTCTTCTTTTTTCTTTATTCCTTTCTTCTTTCTTTCTTTGCTTTTTCTTTCTTCATTCCCTTTCTTTTCTACTTTATTTTTTTCTTTCTCCTCCATGCTTGCTTTCTTCCTCCTCTTTTTCCTTCCTTCTCTTCCTTTTCCCCTTCCTTTCTTCTATTCTGCACTTTTTCTTTTCTTCTTCCCCCTTTTTTTCTTCTCTATATCCTTTCTTCCTCCCTTCCCTTTTTTCCTTTCTTGCTTTCTTTCTTCCTTCTCCACTATTACTTTCTCCTTTCTTCCTTTCTTTGCTTTTCTTTTTCTTCCTTTCTACTCTTTCGTTTCTTCTGTTTCCTTTCTTCTCCTTTTTCTTCCTTTCTTCTCTTGCTTCCTCTGCATTATATTATTATATAATAATATAAATGTGAGTTTATGTAATAATAATAACCTTAATAATAATAATAATAATAATAATAAATCTGTGTGATAATAATACTTACATTATTTCATAGATTTATTATTATTATTACTACTTATGTGGAGCCCCTGGTGGCACAATAGGTTAAACCCTTGTGCCGGCAGGACTGCTGGCCTGAAGGACAGCTGTTCGAATCTGGGGAGAGCAGGGTGAGCTCCCGTCTGTCAGTTCTAGCTTCTCATGCAGTGACATGAGAGAAGCCTCCCACAGGATGGTAACACATCCGAGCGTCCCCTGGGCAACATCCTTACAGATGGCCTAGTCTCTCACACCAGAAGCAACTTGCAGTTTCTCAAGTCATGACACACACAAAAATATCTCATAATACACTATTATGTAAAAATAATAATACACTTATGTAATAATAATAATCTTAATAATAATACACTTAGGCGCAGGCAGCTGTGATAGGCCTCTTTATAAATTATTATTATTACTATTATTAGCCATTAAACCAATTTGAACAATCTCACAGGCCCTTGAATCTGAGTGAATGGGGACAATCTTAATTTAAATTAAAAAGTCCAATTATTGCTAGCAGATTGAATGCATATTAGGAGACATACTGAGGGCTACACAGTGTGCTATTTACACTCTTGAGGAAATCCAATTCTAATCGGTGGGACCGCCTTCAAAGTCAATTTGCACAAGGATTAGAGAAAGCAATGCCCAGGAAACAAAGAGGATTTGTGCACCAGTTTTGGCTCTGGGACTACAACTCGCATCAGCCTGAGCCCCATTAATAATATAATAATAATCAATATAAAAGGTAAAGGTAAAGGTTTCCCCCTGACATTAAGTCCAGTCATATCCGATTCAGGGGGTTGGTGCTCATCTCCATTTCTAAGCTGAAGAGCCGGCGTTGTCCATAGACACCTCCAAGGTCATGTGGCCACTGGCATGAATGCCTGGCGCACAGTTACCTTCCCGTCTGAGCAGTACCTATTGATCTTTTCACATTTTGCATGTTTCCAAACTGCAAGGTTGGCAGAAGCTGGGGCTAACAGCGGGGACTTACCCCGCTCCCCAGATTCGAACCTGTGACCTTTCAGTCAGCAAGTTCAGCAGCTCAGCGGTTTAACCCACTGTGCCAACGGGGGCAGTAATATATTCTAGTAATATATACTAGATAGAATAATATCATAATAATATATAAATATTATATATACTAATATAAATACTAGAACAATAATATATAAATATTACATATTCCCTAATATAAATAAAAGCTACAATAATAATATAAATATATATTCAAATAAAAATACTAGAATAATAATATACAAATATTATATATTCTGATTAAATACTAAAATAGTAATATATTAATATTACTTACAATCTAATAGAAATACTAGAAAATAATAGAATATATATATTTATTATATTATTTTCTAGTATTTCTATTAGAATATAAAGTAATATTTATATATTACTAGTATAGAAATACTATAATATATAAATATTATTTTATATTCTAATAACACTAGAAAATAATATAAATATTATTATGTATTCTAACAGAATATTAGAATACAATATATTAGATATATTCCAATAGATATATTAGAATAATAATATATTAATATTATAAATACTAGAGTAATATAAATATTATTAAATATTTTCTAACATCAATACTAGAAGAATAATAATATAATATAAATATTATTATATATTCAGTACAAGAAAAATAACAATATTATAATAAATCAGGAGAATGATGACGGTCATAATGAATGGGAGAAATGGTTTTCCTTCCCTGTGCGAGTCTGCGCAGGCGCGGGAAGGGGGCGGGGAACCTCAAAGCACCGCCTCGCCGTCCATCAAGCGTGCGCGGCCAATCATGAGTCGGCGAGGCGAAGTAACCAATCCGGGGCCGCCTGTGTGGTTTCCATAGCAGCCGAGAGGGCGGGGCTTCCTGGGCTGAGCCTCACAGAAGAGCCAGAGGAAGGAAAGAAGGAAGGAAGGGAAGGAGGAGAAAAGGAGGGAAGAAAGGAGGCCATGGCGGCCCTCGCAGGTAAGAGAAGGCCCTCCTGGGCTCTCCTTTGCTACTGAGCATGCGCAGAAGGCTTCCCCTCCTGGAGGGCATGGCCCCGCTCTGGAGAAACAAGAGGAAAAGGCCTCGACTCCGCCCCTTTGCTCTAACCACGCCCACTCTGCGCTAGCCACGCCCACTCCACATTGGGACTCCGCCCACACCCCATTGGCAGTCAGGAAGTGGCCTACCTTGCAAGGTTGTTGGGAAGGCTTCAGAATTTATTATTGTTGTTATTATTCCATCAGCTTGAAAATACTATTATTATATTTTATATTCTTGTTTTATTGGCTTGAAAATAATATGATTTTATCTGCTTGAAAGTATTATATATATATATAATAAATATTCTATAATTATATTTTTAATTTGTTTTATTGGCTTGAAAATAATATGATTTTATCTGCTTGAATAAATTATTATTATATAATACATATTATATATTATAATTATTATATAATTATATTTTAATTTATTTTATTGGCTTGAAAATAATATGATTTTATCTGCTTGAATATATTATATATTAAAATTATATAATTATTATATAATTATATTTTGAATTCATTTTATCAGTTTGAAAATATTATTAGTATATATTATATAATATTATTATTATATATTATATATAATAATTATATATTATGTTTTAAATGTATTTTATCAGCTTGAAAATATTATTGTGATGTATATTATTTTATTTGATTGGCTTGAAAATATCAGCTTGAAAATAGATTTCTGGGCTGTCTGGCCATGTCCCAGAAGCATTCTCTCCTGATGTTTCACCCACATCTATGGCAGGCATCCTCAGAGGTTGGGTGGTCTTTTGGAAACTAGGCAAGTGAGGATTATATATATATCTGTGGAATTATGTTCAGGGTGGGAGAAAGATCTCTTGTCTGCTTGAGGCAAGTATCATGTTGCAATTGACCAGCTTGATTAGCATGGAATAGCCTTGCATCTTCAAAGCCTGGCTGCTTCCTGCTTGGGGAATCCTTTTTTTGGGAGGCGTTAGCTGGCCCTGATTGTTTCCTATAATAATATTACCAGGTCAGACTACACAGAGAAGCCATTGAAATCCACAAGCATGTGGACAACTTCAACAGAAAGGAGGAAACCATGAAAATGAACAAAATCTGGCTACCAGTATTAAAAAAACTCTAGAATCAGAACAGTAAATACTCAGGAACATTAAAAAAAAATAGGGGAATTCCAGACTGGAAACAATCAGGGCCAGCTAACACCTCCCAACAAAGGATCCCCCAGGCAGGAAGCAGCCAGGCTTTGAAGCTGCAAGGAAATTAAATGCTAATAAAGATGGCGAACTGCAACATTCACACTTGCCTCCAACACACAAGAGTTCTTTCTCCAACCCTGGACATTCCACAGATATATGAACCCCACTTTCCTAGTTTCTTCACAACTTCTTATGATGCCTGCCATAGATGTGGGAAAAACATCAGGCGGGAATGCTTCTGGAACATGTCCATACAGCCCGGAAAACAGCAACCCAATGTGATATCTGTTTGTAAAGGCTTGTTGGCGACATTTGTCTTGTGCAGGAAGCAGCCAGGCTTTGAAGCTGCAAGGCCATTCAATGCAAATCAAGCTAGCCAATTGCAACATTCATTGTCAAACTCATTTCTCCCTGGACATCACTCCACAGAAATATAAACCTCACCTCACACCCTCCGAGGATGCCTGCCAGAGATGAGGGAGAAACGTCAGGAGAGAATGCTTCTGAAACATGGCCAGACAGCCCGAAAAACTCACAACAATCCCGTGATTCTGGCCATGAAAGCCTTCGACAATACAAAAGCCACCCATAAATCTGAACAAATATTAGGAAATACATTTATTACATTATGAATATCACTTTAGTAATAATTATTTTAGTATGATAGGAAGAAATATGAAGAAATAACTTATAATAAAGATTTAGATAAATTTATGATATTATTAATATTACATTCGTAATTGTTTTATTTCAGAATAGTATTAAGAGATCTCATATAATAAATGATAATAAATATTAAAAAATAAAACTGATAATAATGATGAAGTTATGACAACTCACAGCTGGTTTGGCTCATCCTTCCTTGCCAATCGGGACAGCTTTCTGGCTTCAAAAGTGACTTTCTTGGCCCCAAACATGCCTTTCGCACTTCGAATTTTGGCTTCAAAGATGCCAAACGAAGCCTGGAAACTTTTGGCTGCAGGAAAAGAGAGTTATGTACACAAATTTGCCTCTGACCCAGATCTGGATTTCCAAACGGAGCCGACCTTCGAGAGGTTTCCTGGAAATATAAATGATGTTCTGTTATTCCAGAATGGTATTTGAATCCTGCAATGCAGTCGAGTGTTATTATAGTTATATTATTATTATTATTATTATTATTATTATTATTATTATTATTATTATTAGACTCCTAGAGTTGGAAGGGAATCACAAAGACCTTCCAGTCCAACCCACCTTCTGCCAGACAGGAATAATAATAATAATAATAATAATAATAATAATAATAATAATAATAATAATAATTTATTGTATTATTATTGTATTATTATCCATTATTATTACACTCCAAAACATAGCCATACAGCTTCTATACTCTATAACTCCACTAGGACCTCAAGGGCCCTCCAGTCCAACCTCAGAAGACAGAATTACTATTATAATATTATTCATATTGTTGTTATTGTTGTTGTTATTACATTCCTAGAGGTGGAAGGGACCTCTAAAGGCCATCTAGTCCACATCCCTTCTGCCATTCTGCAGTCCGCAATGCCTTCTGAATCCTGTCTCTTTCTCTCCCCCCAAAAAGGTTGTGTCCCGTTGCACCGGAGACCTTCTTCGCGGCCTGAGCATCCGTCGTGAGCCAGTGATTCCACCGAGATCAGATCCGCAATGTTTGGGAAGCTGAAGCAGAACTTGCTGCTGGCCTGCCTGGCACTGAGCTCGGCCACAGTCTTCTACTTGGGTCGCCACGCCATGGAGTGCCACCACCACCACGACCAGCACCGCGTGGCTGAGCGGAGCGTCTCCTCGGAGGATCTGGCCTCCACTCCCCTTTGGAAGGAGAATGTCACTTCGTCAGGGGGGGCGCTGCCATCGTCCTACGGAAAGGACACTCCGCTCATCTTTGTTGGGGGCGTCCCTCGCAGTGGGACCACGCTGATGCGCGCCATGCTGGACGCCCACCCGGCCGTGCGCTGCGGGGAAGAGACCCGCGTCATCCCCCGTTTGCTGGCTGCGAAACAGATGTGGGCACGCTCGGGGAAGGAAAAGGCCCGTTTAGATGAAGCTGGGGTGACAGAGGCGGTGCTGGACGCAGCGGTGCGGGCCTTCCTGCTGGAGGTCATTGTGCGCCATGGGGAGCCGGCCCCCTTCCTCTGCAACAAGGACCCCTTTGCCCTCAAGTCTTTGTCCTACCTCTCCCGCCTCTTCCCCCGGGCCAAGTTCCTGCTCATGGTGCGCGACGGCCGTGCCGCCGTCCACTCTATGATCTCCCGCAAGGTCACCATCGCTGGCTTTGACCTCAACAGCTACCGGGACTGCCTGGCCAAATGGAACCGGGCCATTGAGACCATGCACGGGCAATGCATGGAGGCCGGGCCACGGAGGTGCATGGCTGTCCCCTACGAGCAGCTGGTCCTGCACCCCGAGCAGTGGCTGCGTGCCCTCCTGCGCTTCTTGGGCCTGCCTTGGCACCCTGCCGTCCTGCACCACGAGGATATGATAGGAAAGGCCGGAGGGGTCTCTCTCTCCAAGTGAGCACTTTTATTATTATCATTATCATTAACATTACTATTATTAAGGAAATCTGCATCCCGTTGGAGGGGTCTCCCTCTCCAAGTGATCACTGGTGGTGTTGTTGTTATTGTTAAGGAAAGGGTTCTCCTATTCAAGTGAGTGCCAGTGTTGTTGTTGTTAAAGAAATCTGCATCCCGTCGGAGGGGTCTCCCTCTCCAAGTGAGAACTAGTATTATTGTTGTTGTTGTTTTTGTTGTTGTTAGTGAATGGGTTCTTCTTATCCAAGTGAGTGCCAGTATTGTTGTTGTTGTTGTTGTTAAGGAAATCTGCATCCCTCTGGAGGGGTCTCCCTCTCCAGGTGAGCACCATTATTATTATTATTATTATTATTATTATTATTATTATTATTATTAAGGAAACCGGCCTCACATTGGATCTGCATCCGTCCGGATGATACTTCCTGTTGGCAGCTGAGCCACAGAGGAGAGGAGATAAAGCTGGGACCTTAGAATGTATTATTATTACATTATTATTATTGTTATTATTACCATTATTATTATTATTGTTATTTTCATCTTTATTATTTTCATCATTATTAATATTTCATTATCGTTATTATTGAGGAGCCCCTGGTGGTGCAATGGGTTAAACCCTTGTGCCAGCAGGACTGAAGACCGACAGGTTGTAGGTTCGAAACCGGGGAGAGCATGGATGAGGTCCCATCTGTCAGCTCCAGCTCCCCATGTGGGGACATAAGAGAAGCCTCCCACAAGGATGGTAAAACATCAAAACATCTGGGCAACATCCTTGCAGACAGCCAGTTTTCTCACACCAGAAGTGACTTGCAGTTTCACAAGTCGCTCCTGACATGAAAAAAAATTATTACAATTATTATCATTATATTTATTATTCTCATTGTTATTATTACAATTATTATTATTATTATCATCATCCTCATCATCATTATTTTTGTTGTTAAGGAAATCTGCATCCTTTTGCCTGTTTCCTGTTGACCAGTTAAGCCAGGGAGGAGAGGAGCTAGCCAGGGCTTAGAATTTATTATTATTCTCATTCTCATTATGTATTATTATTCACGTTTTCATTATTATTATTGACGTTTGCATCCCACCAGATGCTTTCCATTGGTCAGCTTAGTCAGGAAGGAAATTCCACATAGCCATTGAATAATATTAATATCAATGATATTAATAATATTATTAAAATTGAAATCCGCACCCCTCTGGATGTTTCCTGTTGGCCAGCTTAGCCAGGGAGGAGAGAAGATGTATCCAGGGCTTAGAATATATAATAATACTAATAATAAAATACAATATCCTTCTCCCTCTTCTCCTCCTCCTTCTTGGCAGAGCCATGAAGAGATTAGATTATCTCTTGTTCTGCTTGAGAGCCTTGAAACCCACTCAGTCAGCCCCTCGACCTTGGCGTTTCCTGGCTTTTCAGGGCATCCTGCCCACTTTGGTGTGAGGAACCGGTCCAGGGACTTTGGAGGAGGCTTGCTTGGCCCTCCCTGGCCCTGTTTTCATGGGTCCTCTGCCAGCGCGGCTCTTGGCGGGGATTTGGGGAATGTCACCCTCTGGCTCTTTCCCGGTCCCTTGATGGGAACCAGCTGCAGAGAATGAACAGGGTCCTTGCCGAGTGCAAGGCTCTTCTTCTTCTAGGCCCAGATCCCTCCCTCTCTTCTTCCATGTGGGAAGAGGAGTCCAGGAACCAGAACCAGGAAGGAGAGCAGCCCAGTGAAGCGCCACCTCTCTTCCTGCCTTCAGGGAGGCATTTGGACCTCTGACAGGATACAAATGGACCAAGGGAATGGCAAAGGATTCTGCCTCAAAGCATGGCTTGCCCTCCTCTCCTCTCTTTATGTAGGCCTTGCCCTCCTTATCTATCCACTCACTCTTTTGGGTCAGACTGAATGGCCTTTGTGGGTCCCAACTCTAGGATCCTATCTATCTAGTCATCCATCCATCCATCCATCCATCCATCTGCCTGCCTGCCTGCCTGCCTGCCTGCCTGCCTGCCTGCCTGCCTGCCTATCTATCTATCTATCTATCTATCTATCTATCTATCTATCTATCTATCTATCTATCTATCTATCTATCTATCCAAACGTCCGTCCGTCCGTCCGCCTATCCATCTATCCATCCTTCTGTCTGTCTGTCTGTCTGTCTATCTATCTATCCATCCACCCTTCTATCTTTCTCTCTCTCTCTCTTATGGATCAGGCTGGACAGTCTTTGGGGGTCCCTTTCAAGTCTAGGATTCTCTCTCTCTCTCTCATTCCATCTATCCATCTATCCATCTATCCATCTATCCATCTATCTATCTATCTATCTATCTATCTATCTATCTATCTATCTATCTATCTATCTATCTATCTATCTAGCCATCTGTCTGCCCATCCATCTAGGCATCTGGCTACCCGCCCACCTATCCACCCACCCATCCATCCATCCACCCACCCACCCATCCATCCATCCATCCATCCATCAATTTTTCTATCTATCTCTTATTGGTCAGACTGAATGGCCATTGGGGTCCCTTCCAACTCTAGGAATCTCTCTGTGTATCATCTATCTATCATTTAGGTATCTATCATCTCTCGATCATTCCTTCTATCATCTCTGCCTATCTATCTATCTATCTATCTATCTATCTATCTATCTATCTATATCTATCAAACAATCATCTATCTCTTATTTGTTGGACTAGGTGGTCTTTGTGGGTCCCTTCCAACTCTAGGAACCTATCATCTGTCTGTCTGTCTGTCTGTCTCTCTCTCTATCTAATCAATCTGTCTATCTATCTATCTATCTATCTATCTATCTATCTATCTATCTATCTATCTATCTGTCTGTCTTTTCTATCTATCTCTTATGGGTCAGACTGGATGACCATTGGGGTCCCTTCCAACTCCAGGAATCTATCTGTCATCTCTCTGTGTATCATCTATCTATCTATCTATCTATCTATCTATCTATCTATCTATCTATCTATCGCCTATGTATCTATCATCTATCTATTATTCTCTCTAGCATCTCTGACCTATTTGTTGGACTAGATGGTCTTTGTGGGTCCCTTCCAACTCTGTCTGCCTGTCTGTCTATCTATAATAATAATAATAATAATAATAATAATAATAATAATAACTTTATACCCCACTCCATCTCCCCCAGGGGGACTCGGGGCGGCTTACATGAGGCCATGCCCATCAACACAATAGGCACAATACACACAAAACATAAAATGCAAAAACCAATATAATAAACAACGCAGCAATAAAAATCAAACATCGAACACAAAAATTCCACAGGGCAGGGCCACTTCAAGAAGAAGAATTTTAATATTTTAAAAACACTGGGAGATAGGCAATGAAAGATTGTCGTGAAGATTATCTATCATCTATCTATTTGTCTGTCTGTCTATCTATCTATCAATTATCTATCTATTAATCTTTCTATCTGTCTATCTATCATTCTCTCCCTTATTTGTCGGACTGGATGGCCTTTGAGGGTCCCTTCCAACTCTAGGACTCATTCCATCTATTTGTTTCTCTACCTACCTACCTACTTATCTATCTATGTATCTATCTCTCTCTCTCTTATGGCTTGGTTTGGACAGCTTCTGGGGGTCCCTTCCAAAAAGAGCCCCCCCCCCCGTCTTGGGTAGGATCCCTCCAGCAAAAAGCTGTGGGTTGACCTCTCAAGGTTGTGCTTGTCTCCTTCCTCAGGGTGGAGCGCTCGACGGACCAAGTGGTGAAGCCGGTCAACGTGGCGGCCCTGAGTAAGTGGGTAGGCAAGATCCCACCGGACGTCCTGCGCGACATGCCAGCCATCGCCCCCATGCTGGCCAAGCTGGGCTACGACCCTTATGCCAACCCCCCCAACTACGGCAAGCCTGACCCCGCCGTCCTAGAGAACACACGCAGGGTAAGAGGAGGTGGAGGCTGCATCCGCAGTCCAAGTTTCCAAGGGGAAGGAGGGCATGGCAGAGTGCCTTGGAAGTCTGGATTCATGCCCTTATCATGGCTTGCTTTGAAGGTGGTCTCTAGTATCATTTATCAAACCAGGAACTTTGGAAAGTTTTCCCCCCCATAAGTGTTATCATATCAGTCGCTTCTAAAGTAAAATAGATCATTAATGGGTATTTTTTTCTTTTTCATTTTTCCCTTCTGCAGGTCCATAAAGGTGAATTCCAACTCCCTGACTTCCTGAAAGAAATGCCTCAGGTAAGCTTTTTAAAAATAATAATATAATATTAACGTAATACTTATTTGCCCCCCCCCCCCAGACTTCCCAGTGTTACTGACTTTCTCCATTGGTGTGGAATTTGCCCACTGCCTCTCCCCTAACCCTTTCCTATCCTATTATGCCACACAGAGGAATTGATTAGCAACTGAACATAGGTTTCCTCCACCACAGGCATCTCAGTGTTCCTTACTCTCTCCACTGGTGTGGAATTTGCATGACCCCGTCCACTGCCTCTCCCTTAACCCTTTCCTATTCTTTTCTATGCCATACAGCAAACAGAGTAATTGATCAGCAACTGAATATACTGGAAACGTTTGGGGAGAAATTCATCATGATTTATAGGAGTTGTCGTTTCTGGGATGTATAGTTCACCTGCAATCTAAGAACAAACATTCTGTATCCCTCCAAGGATGGACCTGGAACCAACTTGACAAAAAAAACCCCCATGACCAAGAAAACATACAGGAGGTCTTTGGAGGGATTTATAGGAGTTGTAGTTCACCTACCTCCAGAGCGCACTATGAACCTAAACAAATGGATCTAGACCAAACTTGACATGCATACCCAATATGCTGAAATTTGATTACTGGAGGAGAACTGACCTTCCTTTCTGGGAGTTGTAGTTCACCCACAACCAGAGAAACTGTGACCTCCACTGATGATGGGCCTGGATCAAACTTAGCACACAGAACCCCCATGACTAACTCAACCTACTGGAGGGATTTGAGGGGACTGACCCACCATAGTGGGGGTTGTAGTTTACCCTACAGCCAGAGAGCACGCTGAACACCACCAATGAAGCATCTAGAGCAAACTTTCCAGACACAACAAATTTTAAGTACTGATGGTGTTTCTTGGGGTAAACCTGGCATGATGGGAGTTTTAGTTCACTCACAACTTACACATTTCATGCAATCAAAAACTGACTTTTTCAAATAACCCAATCTAGTATATAATAATAATAATAATAATAATAATAATAATAATAATAATAATAATATAGTATGTGAATGTATCTATCTATCTATCTATCTATCTATATATATATATATATATATATATACATATACCTCTACATATTATTAATATAATAATGGATGAAGATATATCTATATATATTCCTCTACATATCAATAATAACAATAGTTGAAGTACAAATTAATAATAATAGTTGGATATATATCTATATCAATATTTATACTAAATAATAGTAAAACAATCATAAGAATAACAGTAAAAGAATAATAATAAGAGTAAAATAGCAATAATAACAACAGTAAAAGACTACTATATAATAAAAGGGAATCCCAATGCCCCGGAGAAATGCCTGGCATTTCCGGTGTTGCCAGAGAATCTATATCGTCCGCTGCCACGGTTAGTCTTTTTGACTTTAAACTAACACCCTTTTTTCTCTTGACAGACAAATGGCGTGAAATAGAACGGCTGTGGGATCTCAAGTACGTAAACAACTGTGGGTTTAATGTAACTGCATTTCTAATGGGAATGTATCCCTATTATTATTATTATTACAGTAGAGTCTCGCTTATCCGACAAGAATAGGCCAGCAGAATGTCGGATAAACGAAAATGTTGGATAATACAGAGTCACTTACTGATACCCGTCCGACATGTCAGATAAGACGAAATGTCGGATAAGCGACAGTCGGATAAGCAAGACTCTGCGGTATTATTATTATTTTGTTTATTATTCTTATTATTACCCTGTTTTTCTCTCCAAATAAAGGGAGACTTGAACATAGCCAAGTTATGGCTCCTGCTTTCAATCTTCTCCCTTTTTCTCTTTCATTTAGGAATTGAAAACTGCCTTTGGGAAGAGAGCGTCAGCGATGGATTTCTCCAGGCCGCTCTTTTCCCTCCTCCTGGAATATATTCCCGTTTCATACTGTGGTCTCTTTGATTTGTATTTTATTTTTATGTTTTTTTTGTGGGGGGAGCAAAAAAGTCTTTTTTGGCCTTCTTCCACGCAAAAGATTAGTAGGACATTTCGGGTGAGGTTGAGGGCCCTTTCAGTACATAGAGTTATATATATATAGCATTATGATCCCGCTTGAATGGGGAGCATCCCATCGAAAGGCTTGCAGGACCGATCCAATTCCTAGGGAAAAAACACAGGCCAGTCAAACCGCAGATAATGGCTTATCTGGGTTTTACGTTATTGGGGCTTTTTTTGCTCTTGCACTTTAGTTCTTATTTAAACCCGATCCACAAAAGCAAGGTGTGAGCAGCAGGCTGTGATCACGCTCCTCCAAAGGGGGCTGGACTCCATCTCCCATCAGTCCTGTGCACAACAGTAGGGAATTATGGGAGTTGGTGTGATTTTGGAGCTCCACTCTTCTCTCTTCCCTCCTTCTTTCTTTTTCCGAAGGCAAGGCTAGTATAAAAATCATAACACTGAGGTCTCTAGAGCTCCACTCTTCTCTCCTCCCTACTTTCTCTGAAGGCAAGGCTAGTATAAAAATCATAAAACCAAGGTATCTAAAGATCCACTCTTCTCTCCTCCCTTCTTTCTCTGAAGGCAAGGCAGTTGAAGAACTATAAAATGGAGAACTTTAAAGCTCCAATCTTCTCTCCTTTCTTTCTCCGAAGGCTGGTATAAAAATCATAACACTGAGGTTTCTAGAGCTCCACTCTTCTCTCCTCTCTACTTTCTCCAAAGGCAAGGCTAGTATAAAAATCATAAAACCAAGGTATCTAAAGATCCATTTTTCTCCCTTCTTTCTCCGAAGGCAAGGCAGTTGAAGAACTATAAAATGGAGGACTCTAAAGCTCCATTTTTCTCTCCTTTCTTTCTCCGAAGATAAAGCTAGTATAAAAATCATAACACTGAGGTCTCTAGAGCTCCATTCTTCTCTCCTCCCTACTTTCTCCAAAGGCAAAGCTAGTATAAAAATCATAAAACCAAGGTATCTAAAGCTCACTCTTCTCTCCTTTCTCTAGAGGCAAGGCAGTATACAATCTATCAAACTGAGGTCTCTGGAGCTCCACACTTCTCTCCCTTTTTTTCTCTGAAGGCAAGGCAGTTTAAGAACTCTAAAATTGAGGTCTCTTCGGACCACTCTGCTCTCCTTTTTCTGAGGGCAAGGCAGTATACAACCTATCAAAAGGAGTTCTTTAGAACTCCACTGTTCTCTCCCCCTCCCTCCTAATTTCTCTGAGGGCAAGGCAGTTTAAGAACGATACAACCGAGATCTTTGGAGCTCCACTCTTCTCTCATCCCGTCTTTCTCCAAAGGCAAGACAGTATACAATCTATAAAATGGGGTTTAGAGCTCCACTGTTCTCTCCACTTCCCTCCTTATTTCTCCATAGTCAAGGCAGTTTAAGAACTATAAAACAGGGATCTCTGGAGCTCCACTCTTCTCCCCTCCCACCTTCCTTTATTCATTGAAGGCAAGGCAGTATACTGCCTATCAAATGGGATTCCTTAGAACTCCACTTTTCTCTCCTCCCTCCTTTCTCCAAAGGCAAGGCAGTATACAACGTATTAAGAGTGGAGGCCTCCTTGTAAATGACCTTGCCATCAGAGAAAAGGGAAGGGAAGGGAAGGAGGGGGAGAATCAAATCGCTGATAGTAAAATCTACAAATGGAGAGAACCAATTTGAGTTAGAATTGCCCATCAAATTCCTCTCAATAAAAAAATACAGGAAAGCTCCCTTTTTTCCTCTCAATCTAACTCCCATTTCAGTGGTTCTACCTATTCCCTGTTCTAGATGACCGTCATCCAAAAGACAGAATTTGGTTTCTTTTTCCAATTAATGATGTGTTGTTGTTGTTTTTTTAAAAAAATGTGGCAAATAAATTTTCGTGCCTGTTTTTATCAGTTTTATGGATAGGCGAACATGATCTTGCGTGTAACTATATTTAAGAAAAGGAAATAATGTCTGAGGCACAGAGAAAAAGGACTTGTACGTTTCCAATCTGACCACCTTTTGTATTTTATTTTTCAAAATAAATGCTTTAACTGTGGACCCTTTTTGACATTATTATTATTATTACTATTATTTTATTTTAATAAATAATTATATAATTTATTAATTATTATTACTTACTTAGGCGATCCCTCGTAGGCCATGGATGATGGCCCTCCAAGTTCAGTGTCTTGGCGGTGGATACGTAGGTGGCCGTGGAGCCCTATTTTTGATCCCCATGTTCTCCCGCAGTGAAGGCGTTGGTTTCCAGACGGAAGGCAGTCCCGGTCAGGGTTGGCTTGACACACCTTCCTCTTGGCACGTTTCTCTTTTACCCTCAGTTCGTGCCTCTTCAAATTTTGCAGCACTGCTGGTCACACCTGACCTCCAGTTAGAGCGCTCAATGGCTAGGGCTTCCCAGTTCTTGGTGTCTATGCCACAGTTCTTAAAGTTGGCTTTAAGCCCATCTTTAAATCACTTTTCCTGGCCATGTCCCAGAAGCATTCTCTCCAGATGTTTCGCCCACATCTATCACAGGCATCCTCAGAGGTTGTAAGGTCTGTTGGAAACTAGATTACTGTATCTGTGGAATAGTCTCCAGGGTGGGAGAAAGAAGTCTGTTGGAGGCAAGTGAATGTTGCTATTGACCACCTTGATTAGCACTGAATAGCCTTGCAGCCTGGTTGCTTCCTGCCTGGGGGAGTCCTTCATTGGGAGGTGTTAGCTGGCCCTGATTGTTTCCTGACTGGAATTCCCCTTTCCAATGAAATTGTCCACACGCCTGTGGATTTCAGTGGCTTCTCTGTGTAGTCTGACATGGTGGTTGCAAGAGCGGTCCATCATTTTTGTGTTCTCAAATAATCTTCTGTGTCCAGGCTGGTTCATCAGGTGCTCTGCTTTGGCTGACATCTCTGGTTGAATCAGTCTGCAGTACCTTTCATGTTCCCCAATTCATGTTTTATTTATTTATTTCTTTGCGGCATTTGTAGCCCGCCTTTCTCAGCCTTACGGCGACTCAAGGCGGCTTACAGAATTGGCAGAATTTGATACCATACATTTATAAAAGAACAGTTAAAACCATTCGACCTAATATATAAAAACCATATAAAACCATTGAAAACATATCACCACCAGTGTCATCCTGTTAAAATCGTTATCCAGCAGCATTGTCAGAGTTTTTGGAATCTGCACCCCAAATAACTAAACTGAATCTGAAGTTGACCAAAAACTGATTTGTAACCCTTTTGGTACTAGTGATCCCTGGTCAAAAGAAGGTTGGAAACCACTGCTTTACACTATTTGAAATACTTGCCAAAATATAGAAATACATAACTGAACATGAGTTAATTCATTCAGGAACTACCAAGACAATGGAACGGATGAGGATTGAACGAGAGGACATAGTTCTTTTTAAATTGTTATTTGCACTGTCTTTATGTTTAAATGCACTTTAATGTTTTTGCTTTATTAATGTATGCATTTTTATGGCATCGAATTGTGCCGACTGTGTATACCGCCCTGAGTCGCCTCCGGGCTGATATGGGCGGGATAGAAATAATGTAAATAAATAAATACATCTCTTTTCCTCCTGAAAGCCATTATGCAAAGCATGGCAAGGAAGAACAACTGGTCTCTGGATTAGATGTGTCTGACTACAGACGTTACCAAAAAAAGTAGACAGGATTATGGTCACCCTCCAAGGGAAGGAGCATATATATGGATGATGGACTTTTTATGGAAGGTAAAGTCATACAACACCATTTGCACCATATGGGAAATTTAGTATTGATTCAGTACTGAAATGCCCATTGAGAGGTTAACGCATAGAAACAAGATCTAAAATTCAAGTTTAGCCTTTATTGGATCAACTACAAATGTTATAAGTTTTGGGACTGCCATCAACAGCCTTATTATAGAGTAACTAGCCATCCCCTGCCACGCGTTGCTGTGGCCCAGTCTGTGTATATGTCTTGTGTGTTTATATATATGTGTGTGTATATATGTGTGTGTGTGTGTGTGGGTGTCTATATGTATGTGTATATATTTGTGTATTTGTATTTATATGTGTACATGCAAATTGTGTATATATGTGTACTTGTCAATTTGCATATTTGTGTGTATATATGTATGTATGAGGATATGTATATGTTTGTGCGTGTGTATATGTATGTGTATATATGTGTGTGTTTGTGCATATATATACGTGTGTATGAATGTGTCCATGTGCATATGTCTATGAGTGTATGTGTGTATATATATGGTGTATTTTGGGGGGTTTTTAAGTCTGTTCCGTTGGGGTTTTGTGTGTGTGCATGTGCGTGATGGACACTTGTTGGATCGTTAGGTGTATTGTGTCCACATTTTGTGTCAATTCGTCCAGTGGTTTTATAGTTATGTTACTCCCGCAAACGAACATTACATTTTTATTTAGATAGATGGGCAGATAGTAAGGGGTTAAGTTGTATTGCTTTTCTCTTGTTGTGCTTCAAACATTACATGAAAGGACTGAATGACTGCAGCTGTAAGCAGCTTGGCCAATGTTCTCTTTCACTAAAGAAAATAGTAAGGCCCGAAACAGATTGGTAGTTTATTGCTGTGTGCCTTCAAACTGTTTCCAATTTATGGTGACACAAAAGCAACACTATCATGGGGTTTTCGGGGCTGACGTGTGATTCCCTGGCTGAGCAGGGTATTGAACTGTAGCTGTTTGGGCTTTGCTGCATTTGGGGGTCCCAATGGAGACAGCTGCATGGTATATGGGAGACTCCTGCAGAGGTGAGAGCCACAATCATGTGGACAATTTCAACAGAAAGGAGGAAAGCATGAAAATGAACAAAATCTGGCTCCCAGTATTCAAAAACTCTAAAACCAGGATAGTAAATAAAGATCAACACTCAGAAAACAAGGGAATTCCAGACAGGAAACAATCAGGGCCAGCTAACACCTCCCAACAAAGTGAAGAAGCAGCCAGGCTTTGAAGTTGCAAGACCATTCAATGCTTATCAAGGTAGCCAATTGCAACATTCACACTGGCCTCCAACAGACAAAAGTTGTTTCCCCCACCTTTGACATCATTCCACAGATATATCAACCCAATTTTCCTAGTTTCCAACAGACCTCACAACCTCAGATAATAATGATAATGAATAATCAATAAGTGGTTGAAGGCTTTCATGGCCATAATCACTGGGTTGCTGTGAGTGTTCAGGGCTGTCTGGCCATGTTCCAGAAGCATTCTCTTCTGACGTTTCGCCCACATCTATGGCAGGCATCCTGGGGATGCCTGCCATAGATGTGGGCGAAACGTCAGGAGAGAATGTTTCTGGAACATGGCCAGACAGCCTGGAAAACTCACCGCAACCCAACCATAAAAACATACGGATCTATTAAAATTCACCCAAAACTGTACTTAAAAATACAGACTGGTCTAAATCCTACTAAATGAGCCTAAATTTCCGCAAATACTGCAGAGGAAAGGAATCCCAGGAATGAACGGAGAGAAGGCCATTGAGGAAAAGAGAAGGCAGAGCGCCCTCTGGTGGCAGGAAAGGAATACGAGCTGGAAAGGGTCCCCTAGAGGCCATCTAGTCACTACTATTATTATATTGTATTATCAGTATTATATACAATTATATTATTATTAATATCTGCCTTGATTCCCTCTATTATTGGGAGGACCCAAGGGAGGTAATAATAACATATAGAATATTAATAATACAATATAATACATTTATTTAAATTACATTTCTACACCTTTATGTTTTTAGAGATTTAGATATTCCTTTTTATATAAATATCAAATCATATATATTTTTAAAACCACCCATTGGCCAGGAAATAAAACCTTTGGCCGGCCTCTTGTTGCCATGGCAACGGCCCTTTTGCTTGGCGATCCAAGATGGCGCTCCGTCCCGCCGAAGAGATGCCTCGAGGGGGCGTGGCCTCTCCGTCTCCATGGTGACCCTAGAAGACTGGCAGGGCCCTCACGAGAGAAGCGGCCAATGAGGGGTCCCGGAGTCGAGGAGGGGGCGGGGCTTGCCTCAGGCACGCTCTTCCCATTGGTTCACTCACTCGCGGAGATACCCGGATGATGGGCGACCGAAGGAGGCTGAAAGGCGGCTGCCAAGTGCAGCAATAGCGTTCCCGCTCCTCTAGGAAGCGGAAGCGGCCGTTTCCTCCCGAGTCGGAACGAGAAGGAGAAGCAGGTGAGGAAAGAGCGAGGACGCTTCAGGCCTTTGGTCCCGCCCCTTTCGGAGGGTGGGCGGGGCCAGGGAGAGAAGGAGAGCTCCCATTGGAGGGGAGGCAGACGAAGCCACGCCCCTTTGGTGTAGCCCCGCCTCTCACGCCTTTTCCTTATCCTCTCTCCCTTTGTCCTGGCACGCCCTCCTTTTCGAATCCCGCTAAGATGTAGCTCCTCCTCCTTTTAGGCGCCTCCCCTTAGCCGTAGCCCCGCCCCTTTCAGGCCATGCCCCCGCCCACTTTGTTGTGGCTCCTCCCCCTCCCCGACCATGCCTCTCTTTCTCCTCCCTTTAGCTGTAGCTCCGCCCATACAGGCAACTTTTATGTCATGGCTCCTCCCACTTCACTCCCTCCCCGACCTTGCCTCCCTTTCTGACAATGGCTCCTCCCCCTTTGGTTGTAGCCCCGCCTCTTACATATAAACCCCTCCCCCTTTGCTGTAGCTCCGCCCAGGCAGATCCTCCCTTTTATGCCATGCTTCTAGAACATGGTCATATAGCTCGAAAAACCTACAAGAAGCCAGTGATTCCAGCCATGAAAGCCTTCCACATTCTTTCCCATTTTGTTTCTCACGATGGCCCCTCCCCTTTGTGGTGGGCCCTCCCCAGACCACGCCCCTTTCTCCCTATGCCCCTCCTCCTTTGTATTGGCTCCTCCCCTTGGTAATAATAATAATAATAATTATATAATAAACTCTATTTATACCCCGCCACCATCTCCCCAATGGGGACTCGGAGCGGTTTATTTATTTATTTGGAGTGCTTCTACCCCACCCTTCTCAACCCCTAGCGGGGACTCAGGGCGGCTTACAAAAGGCACAATTCGATGCCCAACAATTCACAAAATACAATATACAATTTACAATATAACGACTACAGTTATAACTATTTAAAACAGTCAAATTAAAACAACAGCAGCAATAAAATCATCTTGTGGTCAACGTTCGTCAATTCATAATCCATCCAGCATTGTCATTGTCCTTTCCTACTCTGGTCGTCATTGTCCTTTATCCATCTGCCAGCTTACCCAAAGGCCTGGTCCCATATCCAGGTTTTTAACTTCCTTCTGAAAGAGAGGAGGGATGTTGATGACCTAATTTCCCCAGGGAGCGCATTCCACAGGCGAGGGGTCACCACCAAGAAGGCCCTGTCCCTCGTCCCCGCCAGTCTCACTTGTGATAAAGGCAGGGCTGAGAGCATGAGGCCAAGCCCAAATGACAATTACAATAAAGAAAAACCAAAAACACAAACCGAAAACGCGAACAATAAACAATAACAATAAACAATAACATCATAGTTACATAAAATATATAAATACATAATATAAAATTACAATATGCACAGGCACAGTAATAATGGGCGGGCTACATGTAGTGATTAAAAAGACAAAGTGATTAAAACTAATAAAGAGATAAAAGAGAGAGCAGGTAATTTACAGAGGAGGGCTCATTTCAACGGGAGTTGTGGAATCAAGCTTTCCCATGGGGGGACACACGTATACTCCAATGACAGAACTTTGAGGCAGAGCAATCAGGTGGGATCATATACCTACTCATCAAAGGCGCAACGGAAGAGCCAGGTTTTAAGGTTCTTTTTGAAGATTTCTAGGGAAGGGCCTTTCCTAATTTCTCCAGGCAGTGAGTTCCAGAGTCAGGGAGCCACAGCGGAAAAGGCTCTCTCCCTTGTACTCACTAGGCGAGCTGGAGAAACTGGCAGTTGCGAGAGAAGGGCCTCCCCAGAAGATCAAAGGGCCGAGATGGCTCATGAAGGGAGATGCAGTCACAAAGGTAGGCGGGTCCCAAACTGTTTAGGGTCTTATATAGTCTCTTATATAGGCCCCTCCCCTTTAGCTGTAGCCCCTCCCACTTTGTTATACCATCTCCCTTTTCTGTTGCCCCCTCCCCAGACCATGAATCCCTTTCTCCCTATGGCTCCTCCCTCTTTTGTTATAGCCCCCCCCCTTTTGATATATGCCCCCCCCTTGACTATTGGCCCCTCCTCTTAGCTGTAGCTCTGCCCAGGCACATTCTCCCACTTTGTTATTCTCCCCATTGCTTTGGCCCCTTCTCTACCTGCCCACTTTTTTCCTATGGTCCCTCCCCCTTTGGTTGTAGCCCCTCCTTCTTTGTATTGCCTCCTCCCCTTTGGCTATAGCCTCTCCTCCTCATCTATACACATAATAATATGTGTGTGGCTGGGGTGCTCACCTCCACAGACAGGTTCCCGCTTCAACAAACAGCTTTAACGCACAAGACTGAGGAGCCACCAAAAGCCTGCCCTCCAGTGACATTTTGGTTTACAGTGAACATGTAGCCCAACCCCTGCCAATGTCCTCCCCGAACAACAAACTGCCCACCACCCAAGGAATGCTTTCATTCAGGGACTATTTCGTCCTAAATTGTATGTGTTTCCTCCACCACAGACATCTCAGTGTTTCATTGGTGTGGAATTTGCATGACCCCACCCACTGCCTTAACCTTTTCCTATGCTTTTCAACTCCGTCTTCACAACAAACAGAGAAGAACTAAATAGCCACTAAACATATAGGAGGAGTTTGGGGGATTGACTCCACATGATGGAAGTTGTAGTTCACCCTGCATCAAGTCAGAGAGAGCACTGTGACCCCCCCCCCCCCCCCACCACCACCACCACCACAATGGACCCGGACCACATTTGACACACAATCAAAAATACTGGACAGGTTTTAGCAGAATTGACCTTGATTTATAGCTCTTGTAGGTACTGGGATGTATAGTTCACCTACAATCAAAGAGCACTCTGGACCCCACCAACGATGGCCCTGGACCTCCCTTGACACACAGAATTACCATGACCAACTGAAAATCATGGAGGGGTTTGTGGGGAACCAACCTTCATTTCTGGAAATTTGTAGTTCACTTACATCCAGAGACACCGTGACCACCACCGATGATGGATCTGGACCAAACTTGGCACACAAAACACCCATGACCAACCGAAGCTACTGGAGGGATTTGAGGGGACTGACCCACCATCATGGGAGTTGTAGTTTACCCTACAGCCAGAGAGTACGTTGAAACCCACCCAATGATGCATCTAGAGCAAACTTGCCCAACATAAGCTAACAAACTTGAAGTACTGATGGGGTTAACCTGGCACGATGTGAGTTGTGGTTCACCCACAACTTATGCATTTTGGACAATTAAAACACTGACTTTTTCATGTACCCAAGCTAGTACATTGGGGTCTTGGAGGATCCTGGGGGCCGGCAATAGCCTCTGGGATAACCCCCGACCCCTAGAGCCAGGGATTTCCAGTTTATCCTTGCTGCTTCCCCACCAGCCAGGCCGGTGAAATTGTCCTAATCCTTACTTGCTGGGATTTGTGTGCAAGAGGATCACCCTCCTCCTCCCTCCCGAAGGCATTAATTCTGACTTGCCTTTATGGTAATTATCTTGTAAACATGCAGGCCGACTCCCATCGGACGGACGATCCTTGTTTGTGATGCTCACGTCGTGGCCTGATCCGCGCGGCCATGTCTCCTGATGAGCCGGCCACCGACTGAGGAAGACTAGCCTCAGCCAGCTCTGCATCCTCTTCCCAATCCAGGTTTGGAACAAATGGCTCTTTCCCAATTAGATTTGCACATTGTTTACAACTAGGGTATACGTTGCCCGGGTTTGCATTTTCTGTATAATATAATATATTGTATATACATATAATATTTATAATATTATAATGTAAGACAATATACTACTAATATACTACTATACTACTAATTATTACTAATAATAATAATACAATATTATAATTATATATTTTATATTACATGTAATATTGCTAATAATATTACAATATAATTGTATACGTTGCCCGGGTTTGCATTTTCTATATAATATAATATAATAATAATATAATATATTGTATATACTTATAACATTTATAATATTATAATGTAATACAATATACTACTACTAATAATAATAATACAATAGTATAATTGTATATTTTATATTACATGTAATATTACTAATAATAATATAATATAATTGTATAGTATAATATAGTAATATATAATACTGATATTGTACTAGGCTAAAAATATAATATATTGTAAGCCCCTCTAAGTCCCCTTCGGAGTGAGAAGGGCAGTATATAAACGTCGTAAATAAATAAACAAATATATATAGGGCGTTCCTCCCTCCCTCCCTTTCCCTCATATTCCTTCTCCATTTTCCTTTCCTTCTTCTCTTGCTTTCCCTCCTCTTCTTCCTTCATTTCTTTTCTCATCCCTTCTTTTTCTTTCTTCCCCACTTTCTTTCTTTTTTCCCCCTTATTTTCTCTCTCTGTCTCTTTTTTTTGCCTGGCAAAGAACAGGGGAATTCCAGACAGGAAACAATCCGGCCAGCTGACACCTCCCAACAAAGGATTTCCCCAGGCAGGAAACAGACAGGCTTTGAAGCTGCAAGGCCATTCAGTGCTAACCAAGGTGGCCAATGGCAACATTGCCTCCAACAGACAGGAGTTCGTAGAATCCTAGAGTTGAAAGAGACCTCATGGGCCATCCAGTCCAACCCCCTGCCAAGAAGCAGGAAAATTGCATTCAAAG